TTTTTTTTCTTTGTGCTCGTCATTCTCAAGCATAGAAATTTGGCTATTGGCGTGTGCTCTTTTATATGGTAATGATATTAATTAGGGGGCGTTTACAAGGCGGAGATCTGACACCAGTCAACTGCGCACAATTTCAAGATCATTTGCGATTTATAAATGCCACATCTGGACGAGAGGCGTACGCACGTGTTTTTGTGCGCAGGTTTGTTTTTTCTGAATTGCACTTACGCACTTTTGAGAAATTATCTTAGAACAAATTTAGAACGGTTTATACGCAACATTTTATAAATGAGGCCCCTGGGGCCTGTTTCATAAAACAAGTTTACCAAATAAACCAGGTTTATTTCAGTTAGTCTGACTTATTGTCAGTTGATTTGGTTCAAAATACATCAGACTAACTAAAATAAGCCTGGCTTATTTAGTAAACTTGTTTTATGGAACAGGCCCCAGATGTTCTAAAACATTAGCCACATTTAAAGCCAGACTCAAAACTCATCTGTTTAGCTGTGCATTTACTGAATGAGCACTGTGCTACGTCCTGTATTTTAAGTATTATGATTTTCTATTCTTAACTGGTTTAATTCATATTTAAGTTTTTAAATTCCTTTTTCAATTGTTGTGATTATTTTTTATGATTATTTTAATTCCTTTTATGTAAAGCACTTTGAATTACCTTTGTGTATGAAATGTGCTATTTAAATAAACTTGCCTCGCCTAAAATATGAGTTTCTGAATTGCACTTACGCACTTTTGAGAAATTATCTTAGAACAAATTTAGAACGGTTTATACGCAACATTTTATAAATGAGGCCCCTTGGGGCCTGTTTCATAAAACAAGTTTACCAAATAAACCAGGTTTATTTCAGTTAGTCTGACTTATTGTCAGTTGATTTGGTTCAAAATACATCAGACTAACTAAAATAAGCCTGGCTTATTTAGTAAACTTGTTTTATGGAACAGGCCCCAGATGTTCTAAAACATTAGCCACATTTAAAGCCAGACTCAAAACTCATCTGTTTAGCTGTGCATTTACTGAATGAGCACTGTGCTACGTCCGAACTGATTGCACTGTATTTTAAGTATTATGATTTTCTATTCTTAACTGGTTTAATTCATATTTAAGTTTTTTAATTCCTTTTTCAATTGTTGTGATTATTTTTTATGATTATTTTAATTCCTTTTATGTAAAGCACTTTGAATTACCTTTGTGTATGAAATGTGCTATTTAAATAAACTTGCCTTGCCTTGTCTGAAAACCTGAGGCAAATTATCCTTCCCCTTCACATCGATCATAATAATTAGATTTACCCTTGCAGGTTAAACAAACCATACATCTCATATATTTCAACATCTTGCTTTATCTTTGCTTTCATCTTGCTTTATTAATATTATGAATGTCTTAACCAAACTTTACCAACATAACAACAGATCCCTTGAGCGCAGCTGATGACACTTTCAAGTGACACTTGATTGATCAAGAATATTCCAATGTACAAATAAGCTTTCCTTTGATTCCTCCATGCTCGTTTTCTTTCATGCATCCTTCTCATCCTTGCATCCTGAGGGGGGTGAAGCTAAGACGCAACAAAAGGAAGAAAGGAAAAGAAACGTGGATGCACAAATAAGGAATGAGAAGCGCCCAGCATGTTAATAAGATGATAAATGTTATTCAGCCTCGGTCATTAGGAATCCCGTCATACAGGCAGACAGAGGCAGGGGAAGAGCAGGAAGCAGAAGTCGATTGAATAATCTTAATTGTGTCTTTCTCAATTCTCAATGTTCAGTCAGACTGTCAGTGTTACACCAAACAGCTGAAACACTGAAATGGACACATGCCTTCTTATCTTTAAAGGCAGGGTATGTGATTTTTCAAAAACACTTTAGAAAACTGAAATCGCTTACTCTGCCTTTAACTTATAATAACACACATCTTAAGACTAAATAAAGCAAAAAAAAAAAAAACCCTGCAAGGCCAAAGAAAATGAGTAATATAACAAGAACGAACATGGGAAAAAAATTGAGAAAGATTAAATGAGACCATGCAAATGTTTGTTTGTTCTTTTCAATCTACACAAAAAGAGGACAACGAAAATGGCCAGTGGCAAGATTCTGAGTTATTAAAACAAATGTTTGGAGAGATGCTGCTATACAGTGGAAAGAGGATGCCTACCATAATTGATCAATATTTGAAATTACAGGAAAGGAATCATATTTGAGCAGAAAATTCTGATTTCGGTCACATTCAGCTGCGGTGTGAACGTAGCCTTGATTTCACACAGACACGTATTTTCTGGTGCCATTTTAAATTTCTGAGCCATTTAAAACTCTTTCCACACAAGAAACACAAATAGGGTCTTACATCTGCATGACTTTTTAGGTGTATCTTTAAGTGTGATGGCAAAAGAAATGTTTTATTACACTGATCACAATTAAGTCGCCTTCTGCCAGGGTGAATGGGCAGGGGATTTTTTAAATGGCCCCTTTTTGTTAACTTCTTGTCAGACTGCAGTTTCTCTACAGAATGAGTTTGCAAATGGCGCTTCAGATCTCTTTGGTATGTGAAACTCTTCTCACACTCAAGACATGAGAATGGCTTCTCTCCAGTGTGATATCAACATTGGCTACCAGAAATCGCTTACTCTGCCTTTAACTTATGATAACACACATCTTAAGACTAAATAAAGCAACAAAAAAAAACCCTGCAAGGCCAAAGAAAATGAGTAATATAACAAGAACGAACATGGGAAATAAATTGAGAAAGATTAAATGAGACCATGCAAATGTTTGTTTGTTCTTTTCAATCTACACAAAAAGAGGACAACGAAAATGGCCAGTGGCAAGATTCTGAGTTATTAAAACAAATGTTTGGAGAGATGCTGCTATACAGTGGAAAGAGGATGCCTACCATAATTGATCAATATTTGAAATTACAGGAAAGGAATCATATTTGAGCAGAAAATTCTGATTTCGGTCACATTCAGCTGCGGTGTGAACGTAGCCTTGATTTCACACAGACACGTATTTTCTGGTGCCATTTTAAATTTCTGAGCCATTTAAAACTCTTTCCACACAAGAAACACAAATAGGGTCTTACATCTGCATGACTTTTTAGGTGTATCTTTAAGTGTGATGGCAAAAGAAATGTTTTATTACACTGATCACAATTAAGTCGCCTTCTGCCAGGGTGAATGGGCAGGGGATTTTTTAAATGGCCCCTTTTTGTTAACTTCTTGTCAGACTGCAGTTTCTCTACAGAATGAGTTTGCAAATGGCGCTTCAGATCTCTTTGGTATGTGAAACTCTTCTCACACTCAAGACATGAGAATGGCTTCTCTCCAGTGTGAAGTCTCAGATGAGTCTGGAGGCTTACATTATGTCTGAAACTCTTTCCACACTGTTTGCATGTGAAAGGCTTTTCTCCTGTGTGAAGTCTCATGTGAGTCTTGAGGTTTCCTTTAAGTGTGAAACTCTTCCCACAGTGATGGCACATGAAAGGCTTCTCTCCGATGTGAGTTCTTACATGATCTTTAAGGTGTTTACTGTCTGTGAACTTTGTTCCACACTGTTGACATATAAAACAGTTCTCTCTTGAATGAATCCTCATATGGTAAATTAGGGTTACTTTACATCTGAAATTCTTTCCACACTGACCACATAAGAACGGCTTCTCCCCAGTATGAATTCTCATGTGAGTCTGTAGATTTCCTTTTTGTGAGAAGCTCTTCCCACACAGTTTGCAGGTGTAAGGGCTCTCTCCAGTGTGACTTCTCATGTGGGCATTAAGGGTTGATTTATATGTGAAACTCTTACTGCACAAAGAACATGTGTAAGGCTTCTCTCCCGTGTGAAGTCTTAAGTGAGTCTTAAGGCTTACTTTATGACCAAAACACTTTCCACAGTGATGGCACGTGAAAGGCTTCTCTCCGGTGTGAATTCTCATGTGCGTCTTAAGGTTTTTATTGAATTTGAAACCCCTTCCACACTGCTGGCATATGAAAGGCTTCTCTCCAGAGTGAATTATTACATGCCTGTTAAGACGATCCATGTCTGGGAAACTCATTCCACACTGATTACATTTAAAACAGTTTTTTCTTGAATGAATTCTCATGTGGCTATTAAGACCTATTTTACGTGTGAAACTCTTTTCACACTGATCACATGTGAACGGCTTCTCTCCGGTGTGATTGTTCATGTGATATCTAAGGTTTAGTTCTCGTATGAAGCTTTTTCCACACAGTCCACATGTGAAAGGCTTCTCTCTGGTGTGAATTCTCATATGGCTTTTAAGAGTTCCTTTTTGAGTAAAACTCTTTCCACACTGTTGGCAAGTGAGAGGATTCTCTCTAGTGTGAATTTTCATGTGGGCTTTAAGGCTTCCTTTCTCAGTAAAACTCTTTCCACACTGTTGGCAGGTGAAAGAGCTCTCTTCAGTGTGAACTCTCATGTGTACTTCAAGGTTTCCATGTTGATTGAAACTCTTTCCACACTGAAAGCAGGTGAAATAACTCCTAGTTGCTTTCTTTTGAGCTCTTTTTCTTGAAGTATTTTTAGTATGTGGGGATTTTCCTCCAATCCTAAAACCAAGATGCTTCTCATCTTTCTCTTCTACTTCATTCAGTTCTTGACTCTCCTCTTTCAGCACTAACAGGTCTAGGTCAAAAAAGAAAAATACAAGTTAACTTCAGTTTAATGGCACAGTACAACAGACATCAAAACATTCAAACTATCAAAACCAACATGTATGCTAGCCCCTAAATTGACTAAGCACATGAAAGATGAGTTTCTTTTAATCTCATAACTGCAATTTATTATTATAAAAGAAATAAACTCTTCATCGATGTTTCTTCATCAGAACAGATTTGGAGAAATGTATCATTACATCACTTACTCACCAATGGATCCTCTGCAGTAAATGAGTGCCATTAGAATGAGAGTTCAAACAGCTGATTATAACATCACAACAATCCACACCAAAACTCCAGTCCATCAATTAACATCTTGTGAAGTAAAAAGCTGTGTGTTTTTACCATTGGTAAAACCATTGGTTTTAGACAAAATATCGTAATCTAGAAATAAATAATCCATAATGATGCTTCCTCCACTGAAAAATCGACAGCCGTATTTGTTGTAAACTGTGCTTTACCTGTGCATATTTCTCTCTTGATTCAGACAAGACTTTTCCCCCCCCACTGGAGAAAGCAATATTATGGATAGAGGACTTGTATTTTAGCCAAAAGCAAATGTTTGAAGTCAAAAATTTTTATAAATGATGATTTGTCGATTACAAACACAGAGCTTTTCAGTTTACATGACATTCGTTGATGAACTGGAGTCATGTTTGTGATTTTTTCCCCCCAGCTGTTTGGACTCATTCTGATGGCACACATTCACTGCAGAGGATCTATAGGCAAGTAAGTGATGTAATGCTAAATTTCTCTGTTTTTCAATGAAGAAAATCTCATCTACATCTTCGATGGACCGAGAGTAAATTTTCAGCATATCTTCATTTTTGGGTGAACTATTTCTTTTATCTTCACTTTCTTTAGGACATATTCCAAAAACTTCAAGCTGACAGTTATCACACCCCTCAGCACAACTAACATTTTTCAAAAATTTATTCCCCCCCCCCAAAAAAAGTGTGATTTTTGCACTTTCAGTTGTTCCTGCACTCTAGGTGTCCTTATAATTGTGTTAAATTTTATACATAGACAACTCATCTTAAATACATCATCATATACAGTGAACAGAAAGCTTAATCCGAGAGGTTGCTCTGTATAAAGAAGATACTCATACACAATACAATTATGGCCCCAATTAAATTAAACAATTAAATTTTGCTCATTTCAATAATTAGTTTTGTTTGATTTTAATAAAGAATTATTAATTCGATTTATGCAAATTACATGTATTTTGAACCAAGTTATGTGAATTAAAGTCTGAAAAGAATAAGTTGGTTCTGCGAGTATGCATGCAAATGCACCATTTCCTTGGCGCCAAAGGGAGTTTCCAGCCAGGTTCATGCAGTGCAAATTTCTTTCGGAAGGGTCTATTTACACTAACTCTGCCCACCAACGTGTGATTGGGCTAGTCACCACTACAAAAGATGGCTGGCATATGGTAAAGCGCATACTGAAATCTTTTTGACACGATCGACCCAGGTTCGAATCTGCCTTTTGCCGAACTTTTTCCCCTTCCTTTTCAAATCTCATATCACATAGGAAAGGCATTTATTTTCAATACAAATGAAGAAAATAATCAAAAAGTTAAAAAAGTATCGGGTAGGATTAGGGTAGGGAGGGCTTTATTGTCCCAATAAGGTGACATTCATTTAATAATTTGAATTAAAATTACAATTTACACTCAATACGTTATTATTGCATAGTGTTTTATAATGTACTGCAATACTGAGATGCAGATAATTGCCACTATTTGCAATAAGTAGTATAAACAGCATAAAATCCTGCTATTTTAACAGTGTAAATAGAATTTATAGCTATTTGCACTTTGTGTAAATTGCATCAATCGCTATTAAGCCCCGTTCACACCAAGAACGATAACTATAAAGATAACTATATTAGCGTCCACATTAGTGGACGATATCGTGTTTATTCGAAGCGTACGCTCATCTGCCGCTTTAAATTCTTGAACTTGTTAAAGCAGGATTGATTCTGATTGGGTGTCAATGTTTGTATCAAGGGATGCCCTCGATTAAGGATTTTTCTGGTCGACTAGTAGTCGTTCATTTTAAGCATTAGTCGGCTAATCGCATGTTTATTAATAAACCATTTAAATCATTATAATAAGCCTTTAATTGCCTACATAGCCTAATAAGCACTCAAGCACACGCATAAACTTGCCACAGCACACCGGCAGAAGTAATGATTATGAACGTGTCAGGGAAACAGTAAGGAGACTGCATTAACATTTTAATAATTTGATAAATTAGCGCTTTTTGTTCTCGGTTTAAGAGAAGTCGGCGACACTAACTCGTCATCTCCGCAGTAGTAACGCACCTGTATGCATGTTTCATACAGATTACATAATCTGAGAATATTTTGTCTTCCATTTGATTTGGTTCATTTGAAAGTAGACATTTCACTCTCTATATTTTTGTTTTTAGATTGCAATGTTACAAAGTTAGAATGAAATGTGATTTTTTTTTTATCCGATATTAAAAACGGATAAAAAAAAAAATACAAATACAAAAACACCGAGATATATACCGTATATTGCAAATTGGCCAAAAAATACAGAGATATGAATTTTTGCCAATATCGCCCAGCCCTACTCTATAGATATATTTTTAATGTCTGTAAAGCAAAGATATACATGGAGTTTTGCACTCAAGCTCAGCAGAGACCGAGACAGCAGAAAGCGCATCATGCTTGCTTGAATTATTTTACAAAAGCGTGTTTTGTTGTTATTGAGAGTGCACACAAATAAACGTAGAATCTTTACAGATTTGAAAGATGTATTACTCTTATCTGTATGACCAAAAATTACGGATTATTTTAAGAGCAAAGGGCCGCACCGGATCATTTAAATTTTATCAATTCCGATTCTGCTTATCGATTCTGATTCCAATGTGATTAAAAAGTTATTTACTTATTCACTTTTTAACGCCATGCCAGCATCAAGGCTATTTTCATGGCGATCTCTGAAATTATAC